TGAGGCCTGAGTTGTACCAACTTGGTACACTTATCCCATATGGAAAAGACATAGAAGAATTTTAACAAGATTCTTATATATTCTACTGGAACTTGCAAGTAATACATATGGCAGCAAATACACTTAACACGATTCATAGAATATTCTGTAATATCTGAATTATATGGGTGGTTAACATTTAGACATAACAAAAAAGTTGCATGTATTATATAAAAAACATACAAAAGACATGTAAGCTAAGCCTTCTAAGGTCTCATACTTGGGACATAAACATTTCTAAGCACCTGGATCATGGTAATAATAAGCTGTTGCATGTATTGTATAAAAAACATACGAGAGACATGTAAGCTATGCACGTAAGCTTATTGAAAAAAGCAACGTCCACAACCAGGAGGAGCAGGTAGAGGCGGAGCAGGAGGAGGAAGGGGGAAGCAGAAGGAGGAAGAGAAGGACATGAGAAGGAGGAGAGGGGGAGAGGAGGCCAGGAGGAGAGAGAAGGACAGGAGGATGAGAGAAGAAAAGGAGGAGATGAGAGAAAAGGAGGAGGACAGGAGGGCAGGAAGAAGAGGAAGAAGAGGAGGGGGGGGGACAGGAGGAGGAGGAGGGAGGAGGAGGGAGGAAGAGAGGAGGAGACAGGAGGACAGGAAGGGGAGAGAGGACAGGAGAGGAGGAAGGGGGAGGAGAGTAGAGAAGAGGAGGAAGAGGAGAGGAGGAGGAGAGGGAGGGGGAGAGGAGGAGGAGGAGGAGGAGGAGAAAAGGAGGAGGAGGGAAGGAATGACTTTGATAGCAGCAGTGAATCTATTTAGATATTAAGTGGCGATCTCTCAACAATCATTCTCATGATAGTACATTGGTAGTAGTCAGTGACAAATATCAAAGCTAAGCAAGGCTTGGATAAAACCCTGGATGAGAAACCAAAGGCATAGCTGTAGATAAATCAACTGTCCAGTAGGAGGTGCTGCTCAGCCTTAACTATGGAAACACGTTCATGAAAATGTATATACAAATGTTGTATTTTTCTTACAGTAATTGTCATGGTTTTTTATGTTTGTTTTTTATATTCTCAGAGGTTACATTCTCAGAACATACACTTTTCTTATAATATTCATAGAAGATTACTATATTTTGTCTCAAATATGTCATACCATATCTTTGTAGGAAATTCACCACAATCATGTATTCAATTGTGTATGTCATATAAGGCATCTAAGTCAACACATATAAAAATACACCACTGAAATCCACCATTTAACAGATCCTTATTAGATTAGTTATTAGATTTTTGTACAAATAATCTTCTTCTGCCATAGATTCTTATTAGATTTTCATGATTCTTTTCCATATGGGATGAAGTGAAATGACATAATCACAGGTAAATATTCAGGTAGCTTACATACAGTACATTAAGATACATAAATCCTCATTGTTTGTAATGGACAATTTCTAATTTCTTAAATAAATGTGCATTTATTTTTCTTTCTTGAATGTGTGATGTAGGCTACACAATGCTTGTGGCTCTAAACGCCATCAACAAATCATAATTTGAATGACCATCAACACAGTTTCTCAGTTTGACCCAGATTAAATTTGCAAGCCAAAATTGCCCATTGGTTTCATGGACAAGTCAAATATATTATGCTTACGCTTCAATTTAAAAAGCTAATTTCATTTAATTTAAGACAGGATAGCACACTCAGTAACACATGCCACTGTTTTCCTGGGAGGATTGGGATAAAGTAATGTGGCTCCAGCTCCAAAATTAGGCATAATGGATTAATTGAATCTAGATCCATGCAGCAAGCCCTATGTTCTTTTTCTCTGGGAAGAAAAAAAACTGATTTAGCAGGTAATGTGAATAAGAACAGATGATCTTTTTTTATTTTTTTATTTCACCTTTATTTAACCAGGTAAGCCAGTTGAGAACAGGTTCTCATTTACAACTGCGACCTGGCCAAGATAAAGCAAAGCAGTGCAATAAAAACAACACAGAGTTACATATGGGGTAAAAAACATAAAGTCAAAAATACAACAGAAAATATATATACAGTGTGTGCAAATGTAGCAAGTTATGGAGGTAAGGCAATAAATAGGCTATAGTGCAGAATAATTACAATAGTATTGACACTGGAATGCTAGATGTGCAAGAGATTATGTGCAAATAGAGATACTGGGGTGCAAAAGAGCAAAATAAATAACAATATAGGGATGAGGTAGTTGGGTGGGCTAATTTCAGATGGGCTGTGTACAGGTGCAGTGATCGGTAAGGTGCTCTGACAACTGATGCTTAAAGTTAGTGAGGGAGATAAGAGTCTCCAGCTTCAGAGATTTTTGCAATTCGTTCCAGTCATTGGCAGCAGAGAACTGGAAGGAATGGCGGCCAAAGGAGGTGTTGGCTTTGGGAATGACCAGTGAGATATACCTGCTGGAGCGCAGACTACGGGTGGGTGCTGCTATGGTGACCAATGAGCTAAGATAAGGCGAGGATTTGCCTAGCAGTGATTTATAGATGGCCTGGAGCCAGTGGGTTTGACGACGAACATGTAGTGAGGACCAGCCAACAAGAGCGTACAGGTCACAGTGGTGGGTAGTGTATGGGGCTTTGGAGACAAAACGGATGGCACTGTGATAGACTACATCCAATTTGCTGAGTAGAGTGTTGGAGGCTATTTTGTAAATGACATCGCCGAAGTCAAGGATCGGTAGGATAGTCAGTTTTACGAGGGCATGTTTGGCAGCATGAGTGAAGGAGGCTTTGTTGCGAAATAGGAAGCCGATTCTAGATTTAACTTTGGATTGGAGATTCTTTATGTGAGTCTGGAAGTTGAGTTTACAGTCTAACCAGACACCTAGGTATTTGTAGTTGTCCACATACTCTAGGTCAGACCCGTCGAGAGTGGTGATTCTAGTCGGGTGGGCGGGTGCCAGCAGCGTTCGATTGAAAAGCATGCATTTAGTTTTACTAGTGTTTAAGAGCAGTTGGAGGCTACTGAAGGATTGTTGTATGGCATTGAAGCTCGTTTGGAGGTTTGTTAACACAGTGTCCAATGAAGGGCCAGATGTATACAAAATGGTGTCGTCTGCGTAGAGGTGGATCTGAGAGTCACCAGCAGCAAGAGCGACATCATTGATATACACGGAGAAAAGTGTCGGCCCAAGAATTTAACCCTGTGGCACCCCCATAGAGACTGCCATAGGTCCAGACAACAGGCCCTCCGATTTGACACACTGAACTCTATCTGAGAAGTAGTTGGTGAACCAGGCGAGGCAGTCATTTGAGAAACCAAGGCTATTTAGTCTGCCAATAGAAACAGATTATCTGACACCAATCTGGCTATTAGGTTATTAATAATGAGGCCATCCTAATGATCTCAGCTAGTACAGAGTAGAGAAAGGAGTAGGAAAATGAATCAGAAGTGAAGTGAATCCATTAAGTTTGCCAAAATAGCTTAAATTCATGATTGACACGTTTTATTGAAATCCTTGTGCAGCATTACTAGCTCCCCCCATGGCATACGATGTCATTACCACTTGAACACTACTTTAAACTCTCAGCTGAAGCACTAGTAAAACAGGTTCAACCAGGCACCTCACTTATGCAAGGCATCAACCACTATCTGGGGTGAAGTTTCACCTAGGTATAGATCTAGGATCAGCTTACCCTCCCCCAATCCTAACCTTAACCATTAGTGGGGGAAATGCAATTGTGACCCAAGATCAGCATCTAGGGGAAGCTTTGCCCAACTCCATGCAAGGAATCAACCACCAGAGGGATACATATACCCTCCTCCCTCCCCTAAATCCCAGACGGGCGAGGCCTGCCATTTGGGATAGGACAGAATGTACTGTACTGTAGCTACCACCCACCTCCACTGGAGGAATACTCTGAACAGCAGGGCTTTGGCTTTAGCGGGGACTAGTCAAAAATGAGGGAGAGCGAGAGAATGTAAGTACATTATGTTTGAATACACTACATTCATATTAAGAACTCTAGGAATGGAACCCACAATCCTGGTGTTGCAAGCGCCATGCTCTACCAACGGAGCCATATAGGACTACATATTAACAGGTTATAATTTCCTGGCTTTTTTACAGAAGAATTGGTACTCAGGCACAGACAAGTAGCTGATGCCTTTAGACTAAACTCGATAAAGACAGACCAGGAGGGAGGATTAGAATAAGGACCTAAAAAAACATTCTAACGGTTGTAATTAAATCAAACTGGGTTAACATGTGTCTCCTGTCCATTGTCTCCACAATGAGTGTGTCTCCTGACATTCAACCTCTGCAGAGTTTAGTAGTTTGCCTAAGGGCCCCCCCCCAATGTTATGAATCAGAGCATGGATGTTATTATGCAAGACAGAACAGAGTAGAGCAGAGGGCAACGATTGCAGAGGAAACTGTACATATGTAAATGTTACCGTACAGTATTAAACAATTTCATTAGCATGTTCCAGAAAGTGGAGGCTATTGTGTATCATAATGTACTGGAAAGTGTGGATGACTGCAGAATAATTAGTTATTACAGGTTACAAACACATGAGGGCGATGTTCTCTCATCAGTTTACTCGAAAGTGCTCTGGTGTCTTTAAGCCGGTAGGGGACGCTGGCGGGAAAATCGAAAGCGTCGAGGCACGTGTTTTTCGAGTCCTCCCGGAGTCAACTGATTGATCCGTGTTCCCTTTCGAGTGGCGTTTCCCGTGCTATCATTGGTGGGCAATGTTGTTAATCAACCACACACCTGCCTTCTCTTCCTCTCTGAACCCCCAGCAATAGAATGGTTTTGTCTAATATTAGTGGTCACTAGTTACCACAGCCACAAATTCATAAACATTAATACATATTCTTAAAATGTTATTTTAAACCTAACCACACTGCTAACCTTATGCCTAAACGTAACCTTAAATTAAGACCAAAAAGGTAATTTTTATTTTAATAAATGTTTACGATTATAGCCAATTTTGACGCTGTGGTAACTAGTGAAAAGTCTTTTACAGTCAGCAGCAGCCACATGATCTTTCACTGGTGAGTCAGTCATGAGTCAAATGGTCGCCATCTAGCAGAGGACATTTTTCACCCAGGACACGGAAAAGTACCAAGTATTTTTTAATGCGGATCATCTCGTGGAGGATAAATAACATTGACTTAGGTAAGCTACGTTGTCTAGGTCTAACGTTAGCCATCCGACCATCTTCCGTTGGATAAACATTACCGATTGAATAACTAGGATCATTATTAATTAAATTCGCGAACGAAAGTAGCTTAGAAGCTAACTAGCCACTTTCCAAACTATTACATTCAACCCAAACGTTGGGTAAAACAAGGTTAGTGAAAGGCACTTAAATCGAGTTTGCTTGTTCAATCCACTTCGAGCTTCTATCGCGAGCAACCACTTTTATCCAACAGATTTTGTTTGGCGATTACGGAAGCATTTATCACATTGTTATGTATAGCCAGCTAGCTAGTCACAGCTCTACATTTAGCTAGCTATATCGGGCCTTATGCCATATGTTTGTCTGAAGAAGCAGGAATAACATGGTGACCAAAGCGGCTCCGCGCGTATGTTGATTTTGTCTATCCACACCAGAAGCGTTCATGACACGTAGGTTAAAATACCTAAACCAACTGTGAACCAACTATATTAATTTGGGGACAGGTCGAACATTCATGGATATTTAGCTAGCTTACTGTTGCTAGTTCATTTGTCCTGGGAGATAAACACTGGGTTGTTATTTTACCTGAAATGCATATGATATGGTACTTTTTTTTTTGCTGGATCTTTGTAGAATTTTGACCCATTTTGAGTCACACAATCGTGTGTTCTTTACTCCGACAATTAATCCACAGATATAAAAGGGGAAACCTAGTTCGTTTTCTTTGATTAATCACTCCTTTTTCATTCTTCTTTCGATTTTATATGGCGGTTGGCAACCAACTTTAAAGTGCATCACCACCACCAACTGGACTGGAGTGTGGACCTTGTTAATCTTTCAATGATACATTTACATGCACACTAATAATTCGATAGTAAACTGATTATGGCAGATTATGCAATAGTCATGTAAACACCTTACTCTGCTTATCTTAATCAGTTTAAGGTCAAAATCGAAGTAAACATACGCCGATTAAAACACCAGTTTTTTTTTAACAATCTTTCGAATTATTAGGACATGTAAACGCCTTAATCGGGGCGTTCCAGCGGTGCATTTGACCTGCGCATGTGTGCACCAGCCGAGCCAGCCTCCCTCTTTACTGTGAGTTCGGAAGAACTGAATGTATGCGTAGTAAAAATAGTTTTCACATACAAACTTTACATGTCCGAACTCCGAATCAAACATGCTTCCCAAAAATAACATGTTCGCTGTGGTAGAATGTTTATTTTGATTGACGATTTTCTGCGTTTAACAGAGTGCCATCAGGTAGCCTGATTTTCAGGTGTGTCCATGTAAACAGGATTATTAGGGGAATTGTCCTTCTTGCAATGCATGTAAACGTTTTAATCGAACTATTATATTAATCTGACTATTCACAATAATTGCATTATTGTGTGCATGTAACCGTACTCAATCACCCAAGGTGGTTAGTATGCTCGTAAAAACCAATGAGTAGATGTGGAGAGGTGGGACTTGCACCAAGTTCTATTTTAGTGCCTGGCTATGCAGATGCCCAGGAGCAGTTTGGATGAAACGATTGAATAACATGTGTGTACATTTATTTTTGCAACACTCATACACGCAACGCGGGCGGTTTGGTCAGCATGTAATAAAGCCATTAATGACCTGAAAAGCCTACACCTTAGTTGTCTGGCCTCTTCAACCAATACTACAGCTGCATCAATAACATTGTACAAATTGCAATTTGTAACATATTGTCCTAATTAATATTCGTAACATATTGTACGAATTGTAAATCCTAACGGGAAGTGTAGTTTTGTCGGGTAGAAGCGCCCATAGCTGAATGTTTTCTTAACTCTATTTCTTGAACTGCATTGTTGGTTAAGAACTTGTAAGTAAGCATGTGACAAATACAAGTTGATTTGATCTGTGCAAAACTGCAACAGTTAGGATCTTTTTTTTATATGAAGGATTATTTGTCGCTGATGAAAGATAAGGGCCATATGTTTCGAAAGCCGTATCGCAAGCAATTATTATTGACGCTTCTAAACGTTAAAACTCATGGTCGGGATTGTAGTTCGCATGAGCCAGTCGTGGGCAAAAACTGTAGGGAGAAGGCAAAATGCTGCCTAGAGTTTTCGAGAGCTACGTTAATGCTGCAGTGTGTCATGTCAACAGAAATTGTTCTTCTGTTGTGTTCGCTAACTACTATAAACACAATATATTATTTATTACATCAATGATTGTCTAGTTACCCTTAATTTAGCCAGTTATTAGATATGCCTATCTAACTAGCTTAGGCAGCTGATTGTGCAGATCTAGAGCCCATGCACTATCGTCTAGGCCTTCTCGCCATTAGAGGTAGTTAATGAGGAAAATGATGCCTTTGCAGCTGAATGGAGGATGCTTTATGTACTAGCCGTCCCGAGTGTATTACCGGGAATGCACATCAAGCCTAGACAATAGTGCATGGGCGCTAGTTGTGCACAATCGTCTACCCAGGCTACTATCTAACCAGTTTATTAAATGTGTATATATATAGCTATTTCAGGACGACAAGACCTTATCACGTCATGGTAGTGTTTGGATCTCAGGTGCTGATTGCTGTGACTAGATCAAGGTGAGATGAGATAAAACATAGTGGATATGTGCAGACTAGAGCCATATATTTATTTATATATATTTATAGATAAATATATGGCTGTGGATGTGTATTACTCCACTATATTTTATTGTATTATATTAGCTATGACAGGAAACATTATATACAATGTTGTATGTTATAAAATGCCTTTATATTTTGCAGGGCTCTACAGTGTGACCATTTTACTCATATATTAGCCTAAATACTTTGCTGTGCGACCTGGAATTTCTATTTAGGAGCACCAGTGCGCCTAGAAAAATGAAGGATTTTAACTTTATTATCTCAAATATTTTTCATTGTGCTCCTAACTTTCTTAGGTGCACTCGTGCTTCTTGTAAAAAAAAATGTCAGTGTAGAGCCCTGTTTTGGTTAATGTCTACCTCTTATCGGTTTTGCATGTTTAATTAAAAAATAAATTTAATTCATTAGTATATTTGGATACATTTGTATTTACAATGTCAATGTGACAATATTGGCCTAACAATTGACATGTTTTTTTAGGGGATCCTATTTATTATCCAAAAGGCCCAACTGCGCCGCTCTCCCATCCACGGCATGCATTCGCTACCTATCAGATGTCTCTAACCAGACTGCCCTACCATCACACGGACCCAGGCCCATTTTACACAGATGTACGGCGAACTACCTGCGGCGCCATGGCTGCGTTCCAGTTCGCTTTCTTCACAAGTCCTGCGCTAGGCTCCAGGAAGTAAAGGCCTCTCCAGCCGAAACTCCCCCGTCCCCAGCAGAGACTAGAGTCCCAGTCCCCACTGCCGCAGCCCCGCAGGCTGCCCCTACTCCAAACAACTCCCCAGACAGAGTGGTAGCGCCTAAGTCAATTGGGCAGAGAGTAGTGGACGAGCTAAAGCACTACTATCATGGATTTCGGTTGCTTGGGATCGACACGAACATCGCAGGGAGGATGGGGTGGAGGTTACTACACGGCCAACAGCTCACGAGGAGAGAGCGCAGAAGGGTAAGGCAAAACTTAATCCACAGGTACCTTCTATGCACACCTCTGTATTGATACTCAAGGAAAGGATAGAGGTTAGAGAATTGAGTGGAGTGATTCTCTGGCTGTCAGCCTGTTGCCTGCTGATTTGCTATTAGCCCTAGCATTGCAGTCATGTAACTGTTGCCAATTTGCTGTAGAAAGCTGCTGAGCAACTACCGGTATGTCACCTATGGGCGATTCTTTTTTTTTTTTTTTTGTATCACAGATTTGTTCAGGCAATTCTAACATAGATACTTAATTGGGAGGAAGAATGTTTAACATTCTTTTTACATTTGTATGACAAAATGTTTTTATTCAAAATCATGATGAAAGTGGCCCTTTCAGGCCCTTTTTTAGACCTATACATGCCTCCTGTAAGACCCTATGATCCGTGAACCATACATGGTACAGACAACATCTGGGTGTCATTAAACTCCTTATAGTGTGCTTTAAAATATGGAGTATGTCTATATTCTGAAATAAACATTTTCACATTAATTTATTCATATCTCATATAAAAAAGTAACCTTTTTGATTTAGCATTTATTTTTAAATTGTTTGGAACAATATACTCTTCATCCAGCACATCACATTTCCAGAGTGGATGGCCTCCCGAGTGGCGCAGCGGTCTAAGGCACTGCATCGCAGTGCTATAGGCGTCACTACAGATCCGGGTTAGATGCCAGGCTGTGTCGCGACCGGGAGACCCATGAGGCAGCGCACAATTGGCTCAGCGTCGTCCGGGTTAGGGGAGGGTTTGGCCTGCTGGGATGTCCTTGTCCCATCGCGCTCTAGCAACTCCTTATGGCGGCCGGGCGCATGCACAGTTGCCAGCTGTACAGTGTTTCCTCCGACACATTGATGCGGCTGGCTTCCGGGTTAAGCGAGCAGAGTGTCAAGAAGCAGTGTGGCTTGGCGGGGTCATTTTTCGGAGGACACATGGCTCTCGACCTTCGCCTCTCCCGAGTCCGTACGGGAGTTGCAGCGATGGGACAAGACTGTAAATACCAATTGGATATCACAAAAATTGGGGAGAAAAAAAGGGTAAAAAGTACAAAAAAAAATTAATACAGAGTGGGCTCTCTGCTACTTTTGAAGAAATTATAAATGTTATACATAAAAATTGACATCATAGGACATTAACCAATCACAGCCCTCCTGTAGGATTGCACATTCAACAAATCCCCAGCAGAGGAAGTTCCCTTTGAATCCATTTTCTCATTCACTGTGTTGGTGGTGCTGATAAAATTGATCATAACTTTAAAAGTAGCAGCGAGCCCACTCTGGAAATGTGATGTACTTGTAGAGTATATTGTTTAAAACAATATGTCTAAAAATGAACACAATCTAAAAGGGTACTTTTGAGATACAAAAATAGTTTAGGGCAATGCTGGAATGGAATTGCCCCTATGTGACCTCCATTGACCGACCGTGTGAATTGAGTGACAAACACCTGGGTATTTGTTAACAATGTGTTGTCAGCACTTTCCGTAATGAAGAAATTGGGATGGGTGGGTGCATTATAAAACATGCATTTAGCGCTTAATCTTTTCCTTCTCCTGTACAGCGAAACTCAGCACTTTCCTGTTGCTAAATGAGAGATTTCAACTGGTGGTCGTAGATCTCTCATAAAAATTTGATAGCACTTTTAGTAGCGCACTACCGTGATAGAAATAAAATGACTATACAATATGTAGGCCAGACCCATATACAGTACATTCGGAAAGTATTCAGACCCCTTGACTTTTTCCACATTTGTTATGTTACAGCCTTATTGTAAAATTGATGAAATTATTTTTTTTCCCCTCATCAATCTACAGACAATACCCTATAATGACAAAGCGAATGTTTTTTTGTTGCAAATGTATTACAAATAAAACACAGAAATACCTTATTTACATAAGTATTCAGACCCTTTGCTATGAGACTCAAAATTGAGCTCAGGTGCATCCTGTTTCCATTGATCATCCTTGAGATGTTTCTGCACCTTGATTGGAGTCCGCCTGTGGTACATTTAATTGATTGGACATGATTTGGAAAGGCACACACCTGTCTATATAAGGTCCCACAGTTGACAGTGCATGTCAGAGCAAAAACCAAGCCATGAGGTCGAAGGAATTGTCTGTAGAGCTCCGAGACTGCATTGCGTCGAGGCACAGCTTTGGGGAAGGGTAACAAAAAATGTCGGCAGCATTGAAGGTCCCCAAGAACACAGTGGCCTCCATCATTCTTAAATGGAATAAGTTTGGAACCACCAAGACTCTTCCTAGAGCTGGCTGCCCGGCCAAACTGAGCAATCGGGGGAGAAGGGCCTTGGTCAGGGAGGTGACCAAGAACCCGATGGTCACTCTGACAGAGCTCCAGAGTTCCTCTGTGGAGATGGGAGAACCTTCCAGAAGGACAACCATCTCTGCAACACTCCACCAATCAGGCCTTTATGGTAGAGTGGCCAGACGGAAGCCTCTCCTCAGTAAAAGGCACGACAGCTCGCTTGGAGTTTGCCAAAATGCACCTAAAGACTCTGACCATGACGAACAAGATTCTCTGGTCTGATGAAACCAAAATTGAACTCTTTGGCCTGAATGCCAAGCGTCACGTCTGGAGGAAACCTGGCACCATCCCTACGATGAAGCATGGTGGTGGCATCATTGTGCTGTGGGGATGTTTTTCAGCGGCAGGGACTGGGAGGCTAGTCAGGATCGAGGGAAAGATGAACGGAGCAAAGTACAGAGAGATCTTTGATGAAAACCTGCTCCAGAGCGCTCAGGACCTCAGACGGGAGTGAAGGTTCACCTTACAACAGATCAACAATCCTAAGCACACAGCCAAGACAATGCAGGAGTGGCTTCGGGCAAGTCTCTGAATGTCCTTGAGTGGCCTACCCAGAGCCTGGACTTGAACCCGAACTAACATCTCTGAAGAGACCTGAAAATAGCTGTGCAGCGACGCACCCCATCCATCCTGACAGAGCTTGCCAATGGTGCTTCAACAAAGTACTGAGTAAAAGGTCTGAATACTTATATAAATGTGATATTTCAGTTTTATTTATTTATATAAATTTGCAAACATTTCTAAACCTGTTTTGGCTTTGTCATTATGGGGTATTGTGTGTAGATTGAGGGGGGGAAAAAAACAATTTTATCCGTTTTAGAATAAGGCTGTAACGTAACAAAATGTGGAAGAAGTCAAGGGGTCTGAATACTTTCCGAATGCACTGTACTTAGACTATAAATACATTGCTCTAATGTAGGCGCTAGGCATCACTTAATCTGTTCAATTCATATCTATCCGCATAATCGTTGTGGCCTACAAAGTAATCCCCAGGAGTACAACTCCATTCATATTAAACAACAGCCTACCCTTTGTTTGATCATTGTGACCTACTCCTTCTCATTTATCCAACTTAATTCCATCATTGTCATTTAATTTAGCATTGATTAGAAATCTCCCACTTCACTTGCTACACATGGAGCCTCTGACGGTAGTGATGCTTTGATTTGACCGACAATAACAAGCTACTCGCGTGAAATATAGGCTACCGGTATGTCTTTTTTATGGGGCGCACTCATAAAAACTGTCCATAAAACTGTTTTATAAAATTGTCTGTCATATTCTATCCTTGTATGTAGCAATGTCACAGATAATTGTATTTTAGACAGCTTTTCATTAGAATAGGCCTATTTTTACTTTATTTTTTTTGTCTAACAAATGAATACTCTTGCAAGGAATAACTGTGCCCATCCCTATTTGAGAGGGGTTGGAATAAAGCAAAAGACAAACAATGCACCTTCGACTATAAAGTAATCTTCTTCCTCTGTTCCCTCCTCCAGTTGATGAGGACATGTGCGGACCTGTTCCGGTTGGTCCCCTTCAGCTTGTTCATCATCGTGCCCTTCATGGAGTTACTCCTGCCAGTCTTCCTCAAACTCTTCCCAGAGATGCTGCCCTCTACTTTTGAGACAGAGTCCAAGAAGGCAAGTGGGGAAGGGGGTCTCCAGAGTAGCCAGCTAACCCAGCTCTGCATAATATTGTATTGTCAAATTCTGTGATAAATCAAATATATTGGTTTATGATATTGATACTGCATAGACTTATGGTGTCATTGTTTAGACAGAGGTCAACAGCTGGACTCTCTAGAAGTTCTTTTTAAAAGGGTAGATAAAAAATTAATAAAAAATCTGTATCCCTGGACATTCCGTTCATGTATGGATTGCATGTGTTTGATGGACAACATGTTTCCTGTGTGTCTCTGTCAGGAGGAGAAGCAGAAGAAGGGTCTGGCTGCCAAGCTGGAGCTGGCTAAGTTCCTCCAGGAGACCATTGGTGAGATGGCACTGAGGAACAAAGCCAAGGCGGCAGGGAGCGACGAGACCCAGAAGTTCTCTACCTACGTGCAAAAGGTGAGTCAAAGGCCAGGGTTATGGACTGTTTTCTTCTGTTTCGTGCATATGCATGAACGCGACCTAGGTCCCAAAACAATTCCTTGCCCCCAGGTACTACTAGACAGGTGTAAGCAATATGGTGATGAAGGTTTTGTTCAGGGTCAAAAGGTCATTGGCACAACCATTGCAAGCATTTCCTCATACTGTCCTGTTTGCCCTCTTCAGATGCGCCACGCAGGAGAGCAGCCCAGCACCAAGGACATCGTCAAGTTCTCCAAGCTGTTTGAGGACGAGTTGACCCTAGAGCACCTGGAGCGCCCCCAGCTGGTGGCTCTGTGTAAGCTGCTGGAGCTGCAACCCATAGGAACCAACAACCTGCTGCGCTTCCAGCTCAAGATGCAGCTCCGCACCATCAAAGCCGATGACCAGGTGAAGACAGGAGAGGAGGAGTGTATTGTCTTCCAAATCGACCGCTACCCTCTTGGACATTAATATAGACTTGAAAGGAGATCTGTAAAATAACTACTAAATGGAAGCGTAAAATGTGCTGTTAGTTATAGCTGTAAATAAAGTTAGCTGAAAACGTATTAGTGAAAAAATGGCTTTGTTTTTACAGTGCAAATTAGAGCCATTTGTGTAACTGTATTTGTTTTACTGACTCTTATGAAACTGTATAACTAGGCCATGTGTCTTTGCCGGATCACACGAGGGTGTTGGGTGTCGTTGTTCTTTTTCTGCTGGCCAGCCGGAACATGTTGGCAGAGTACGGTTCTGTAATATCTCTGTGTGTGTCTATAGATGATTGCCACAGAAGGCGTGGCAGCCATGAGTGTGTCAGAGCTGCAGGTGGCGTGTCGTAGCCGGGGAATGAGGTCGCTGGGGCTGACGACCGAGCAACTCACGCAGCAACTGCAACAGGTACGTCCTCCTCCTCTAACCCTCCAACCTACACTGCCCCTCCCCCACACCTAGCAGGCTGTTAGCATGTGAAAGGAATAGCTACCTGCTGAGCTCCTGTCTCACTAGATTCAATCCCAGTTTTAACACTCCCTCCAGCTATTTTTTTTTTTAAACACACAACTGCATGGGGTTGGTCTGATGGGTTATTCATTGTCACCTTCAATGACCTAGATGACAACAACCACATAAAACAGATAGAGCTAAATACACACAAGCTGCAGCAAATGCATAACTCAACCAGGGACAACCATGCACTAGCAATTAAGGTAACTTCTGTCTCTCTTCTGTCAGTGGTTGGATCTTCACCTGAAGGAGAATGTTCCTCCATCTCTCCTGCTGCTGTCCCGTGCTATGTACCATACCGACCTCACGCCCAAGCCTCCTGTCATCCCCCCCATCGTCAAACTGGAAGTGGAGGTAAGGGGCTGAAGTTGGCAACTAAAGCAAGGGTCATGATCAATATAAACGCTTAGGTCAGGGCCAAAAAAGAAAGGGTGATGGCATCACCCATAAGACTGCTACAACAAGTTAGTTTGAATTTATAGTGCTCTTATGTATTAAAAAAGCTGACATGATTCGTATGTTGCAGGTGCCTCAGTATAAACTTAGTTTTCAGTTACAGAAAGCATATTCTGTTGTTTTCTTGACTACTCCTATTGTCTGACAAACTGGGATTAGCATTAGAAGTGTACTAAAAGGGGGAAATACACTGCTCAAAAAAATTAAGGGAACACTAAAATAAAACATCCTAGATCTAAATGAATGAAATCATCTTATTAAATACTTTTTTCTTTACATAGTTGAATGTGCTGACAACAAAATCACACAAAAATTATCAATGGAAATCAAATTTATCAACCCATGGAGGTCTGGATTTGGAGTCACCCTCAAAATTAAAGTGGAAAACCACACTACAGGCTGATCCAACTTTGATGTAAGATCCTTTAAAACAAGTCAAAATGAGGCTCAGTAGTGTGTGTGGCCTCCACGTGCCTGTATGACCTCCCTACAACGCCTGGGCATGCTCCTGATGAGGTGGCGGATGGTCTCCTGAGGGATCTCCTCCCAGACCTGGACTAAAGCATCCGCCAACTCCTGGACAGTCTGTGGTGCAACGTGGCGTTGGTGGATGGAGCGAGACATGATGTCCCAGATGTGCTCAATTGGATTCAGGTCTGGGGAACGGGCGGGCCAGTCCATAGCATCAATGCCTTCCTCTTGCAGGAACTGCTGACACACTCCAGCCACATGAGGTCTAGCATTGTCTTGCATTAGGAGGAACCCAGGGCCAACTGCACCAGCATATGGTCTCACAAGGGGTCTGAAGATCTCATCTCGGTACCTAATGGCAGTCAGGCTACCTCTGGCGAGCACATGGAGGGCTGTGCGGCCCCCCAAAGAAATGCCACCCCACACCATGACTGACCCACCGCCAAACCGGTCATGCTGGAGGATGTTGCAGGCAGCAGAACGTTCTCCACGGCGTCTCCAGACTATAACGTCTGTCACATGTGCTCAGTGTGAACCTGCTTTCATCTGTGAAGAGCACAGGGCGCCAGTGGCGAATTTGCCAATCTTGGTGTTCTCTGGCAAATGCCAAACGTCCTTCACGGTGTTGGGCTGTAAGCACAACCCCCACCTGTGGACGTCGGGCCCTCATTACACCCTCATGGAGTCTGTTTCTGACCGTTTGAGCAGACACATGCACATTTGTGGCCTGCTGGAGGTCATTTTGCAGGGCTCTGGCAGTGCTCCTCCTGCTCCTCCTTGCACAAAGGCGGAGGTAGCAGTCCTGCTGTTGGGTTGTTGCCCTCCTACGGCCTCCTCCACGTCTCCTGATGTACTGGCCTGTCTCCTGGTAGCGCCTCCATGCTCTGGACACTACGCTGACAGACACAGCAAACCTTCTTGCCACAGCTCGCATTGATGTGCCATCCTGGATGAGCTGCACTACCTGAGCTACTTGTGTGGGTTGTAGACTCCGTCTCATGCTACCACTAGATTGAAAGCACCGCCAGCATTCAAAAGTGACCAAAACATCAGCCAGGAAGCATAGGAACTGAGAAGTGGTCTGTGGTCACCACCTGCAAAACCAGTCCTTTATTGGGGGTGTCTTGCTAATTGCCTATAATTTCCACCTGTTGTCTATTCCATTTGCACAACAGCATGTGAAATGTATTGTCAATCAGTGTTGCTTCCTAAGTGGACAGTTTGATTTCACAGAAGTGTGATTGACTTGGAGTTACATTGTGTTGTTTAAGTGTTCCCTTTATTTTTTTGAGCAGTGTAGTACTGGAAGGTTTTATAATGGTACTTTTAGGCACACTGTGCCCTGAAACATGTGACTCCTTAGAGAGAATGTTTCACCTGAGGAGAAATGGCAAGTCATGTTGCTGACATGGCGGAACTTTACAGTAAAAATAATATTCTGTTTATGTGTTCTGTAAGTGCTCTCAACAACCTTCCTAGATAAGAATGCCTGAGAGTAGACAGTTGCTAAGTAACCTGCCACAATAAGATCGATGGCAAAGTGTTCTAGTGGGTTGAGCTATCGTTATGTAATGGCTAAATTCCCGGGCTCAACTGTATTTTGCATCATCCACTCCCTCTATCTGCTAACTCCAAAATTACCTAATAATGCCCAAATCACAACAGTTGACTGAGCAACTGAACCAAAGAATAGGCTAAATTCAACATTGAATTGATCCCCTCTTCTTGTTCTCCCCAGCAGCAAGTCGCCGCCCCCTCTCCTGCAGAGATCGAAGCCCCTGTCAAAGACAAGCCCATGTCTGCGTCACTAGAAGAGCTGGTGGACTCTGCCCCCATTATAATGGACAGAAAGGTACAGTTTTGTACACACTGGACGCGCTTCTAAACTACACGGTCAACGGGGTCCACTTCCATTCAGTCCATTTATCTGTCTTTATTGATGGGGATTGATTGTTTCTGTTGATGTAGACACTTCTTCTCCTTCTGTGTAAAACACGAAGAGAACATCCTAGCAACGTTTGTTTGCGTGGCAATAACGTTTTCTGATTTTGAATTCGGAAATTAAATCCCAAAGCAAGAAGTGTAAGCATACAGACACACTGACCCCCCCCCACACACAAACACACACATTTCCTTATTCTTGGATTGCCTTATCTTTTCAGGTGGAGAGCGTTTTGGATAAAGCCGGGATTGTGGAATTGGAGATGCCGTCACCAGAAGCTCAGTTAATACATGTACGTTTGAGTGGGAGACATTTCATTCCATGGTTTTGTGTACAATGTTTTTGGAAAGCGGTACAGGAGCAGAAGGTAGGCAAGTCCAAGGGGCATTCAGTGGGATTTGTAATGGTCCTTTGGTTAGAGTCCACCCTTATCGATTGTTGTATTTCACAAAGCTGCATCAATATGTTAGTCACTCTTTTTGGAGGTATTGACTCTGTTATATACCATGCCATTTCAAGTTGAAATGTTCTGCTGTTCTCACTGATCATTTTCATTAATGATATCTAGTCAACCTATTGGTTCTTGAAGAATATAACATACTTGGCTTAGCTCTTTGCTCATATTATCTATCCTCCATTTTCAGGCAAAAGGTGCTGAGTTGGCTGCCAAGATGGCTGCCAAGGGGATGTGAAGGCCTCCCCACACTACTGGGTCCAACACTCACCAGCTGCGTAGACTGCTGAAGGAAGCTACAATCCCAAGCCCCATTCCCTCTTTCACTCCTGGTTTAGGGAAGCCATCGTGGCACCCTTTTTAGTCAAGTAAACAGAGGAAAGGATGAGATGTAGCTAGACAGTTGGAGGCGGTCGTGGCTTACTATCTATCATCCAAGAGGACTAGTCTGATCCCAAGAAACGACAACGGAGAATAAGTGAGAGGGTCACTTTAAATGTATTGCTTCCTTCATCATCTGAACTGCTCATTTGCTTCACTCCATCAGGTGGGATATTGCTAAACTGTTGTAAGATCTGGATCAAATATCAGTCTTTTTTTGCTCTGGAACAGAACATCATGTTCTGTGATTTGAACTACGGTAAACGTGTCACTGTAACAGTAGCACATATCATGTTTAATAGAATCATCAGTCTCATCATTTATGCTAGCAAAACTGTATCCTGTACATTTGTAAATACGTTGAATGTATGATATTGTATACTTGCCCCTGCTTTGTGTAGTCCACTGGGCCATACTCTAAGCTTAGTCTAAGGAGCGTCAATCCTACTACAGATTTATTAAGACAAAATTATGGGACGTTCCTGTTATTAGTTGGTGAACACATTGTTAAAGGTAAGCTTGAGGTCATTAGAATTTCCCTCATACAGGGGAATGTAATGTTCACTCCTCTGGGATATTTTTGTTAGCCTGCTAGCTGCTACTACGTTTCCAGGTTACTACGTACGCCAGGTCTGCGTATTGGCTGAACCTGCAGTCTAAATCAAAATGTGTTTTATATGTTGGGTTTGCTTTATTTAAAGGGGTAACATGGTATGCTGTGTACCCATGTAGATGCATACCTTAAAAAATCATGGTGCCCATAATATAAAAAAAGAACTTCCTTTTTTTTTATACATATACAAATCTGAACAAGTGTACTTTCATTTTTTTATATGTAAAATATTAATAAGTTACTATAAAAACAACCCATTTATTTGATTAACCTTTACGCAATTCGATTCCAAGCTTGTAAATTGCCTAAAACATGTGGGACTCAAGTTTAGTTGATACATTTTAATTTGGGGAGAACCACTTGTCCAATTGCTCTTTAGGTGGAGATGTGTATAATTTATTTGAAATTGGTCAGAAGTAAAAAAAAATATTTCACATACCTGTTATTACAATTATTTTCCCTATGAAAAATAATCAACGCCCTTCTAATTCGAAGGCCACCAACTCAAGTTACAAGTCATCTATGCTAGTTAGTTTTAACTAATTTGAATTGGACATTTTTCAATGTCTTTCCCCAAGGGCTCAAAAACAGACCTTTGTCAAACAGTTTATATATTCTTGCTTTCTTTTTGGTGTTTAGTTTTTGTCATTTTCAGCCTATAAGGCAATAGGTGCTCGTTCCATTTAACTCAATACCTCGGGAACTCAACTGTAGACTTCCAGAAAGTTTTAACTTGTGATCTTCCACCTCAAGTGAATTACAGTGAAATGGAGCAATCTTCAGTTTTCGGATCAATAAGAATCCTACATGCCTCCAGAAAAATGGAAGACGTTTAATTTCAATTTTAAAGGTGCCATTTCAGTCAACAAACCTATGTCCTACTTTATTGTGTCTTAAAGGAAGCATCTTGACGCTGTTACTCAACTGATCCAGTTAGCAATCTCAGACATAACATAATGACCACATCTTCTTAACTAGATTTGCACTGAATTGCCTTTGTAAATTGTGGATCTTTGGCTGGAGAACACCTTTCTTGCAATTTCTTAGATGGTGGTTTTAGAACTAATATCGGGGGTGTAGAATGTCTAGAGACTACGTAGCAGAATTCCTATTTTTTGTAATTGACATACAGTACCAGTCAAAAGTTTGGACACACCTACTCATTCAAGGGTTTTTCTTTATTTTGACTATTTTTTACATTGTAGAATAATAGTGAAGCCATCAAAACGATGAAATAACACATGGAATCATGTAGTAACCAAAAAAGTGTTAAACAAATCAAAATATATTTTATATTTGAGATTCTTCAAATAGCCTTGATGACAGCTTTGCACACATTCTCTCAACCAGCTTCACCTGGAATGATTTTTCAACAGTCTTGAAGGAGTTCCCACATATGCTGAGCACTTGTTGGCTGCTTTTCCTTCACTCTGCGGTCCGACTCATCCCAAACCATCTCAATTGGGTTGAGGTCGGGGGATTTTGGAGGCCAGGTCATCTGATGCAGCACTCCATCACTCTCCTTGGTCAAATAGCCCTTACACAGCCTGGAGGTGTGTTGGGTCATTGTCCTGTTGAAAAATAAATGATAGTCCCACTAAGCCCAAACCAGATTGGATGGCGTGTTGCTGCAGAATGCTGTGGTAGCCATGCTGGTTAAGTGTGCCTTGAATTCTAAATAAATCACAGACAGTGAAGCACCCCCACACCCTAACACCACCTCTATGCTTTACGGTGGGAAATACACATGCAGAGATCATCCGTTCACCCACACAGCGTCTCACAAAGACACAGCGGTTGGAACCAGAAATCTCCAATTTGGACTCCAGACCAAAGGACACATTTCCACTAGTCTAATGTCCATTGCCCGTGTTTCTTGGCCCAAGCAAGTCCCTTCTTATTATTGGTGTCCTTTAGAAGTGGTTTCTTTGCAGCAATTCAACCATAAAGGCTTGATTCACACAGTCTCCTCTGAACAGTTGATGTTGATGTGTCTGTTACTTGAACTCTGTGAAGCATTTATTTGGGTTGCAATTTCTGAGGCTGGTAACTCTAATGAACTTATTCTCTGCAGCAGAGGTAGCTCTGGATCTTCCTTTCCTGTGGCAGTCCTCATGAGAGACAGTTTCATCCTAGCGCTTGATGTTTTTTGCGACTGCACTTGAAGATACTTTCAAAGTTCTTGAAATGTTCCGTATTGAGCCAATCAGTTGTGTTGTGACAAGGTAGGGAGGGTATACAGAAGATAGCCCTATTTGGTAAAAGACCAAGTCCATATCATGTGTTAAGGTAATGATGGACTGTCGTTTCTCATTGCTTATTTGAGCTGTTCTTGCCATAATATGGACTTGGTCTTTTACCAAATAGGGCTATCTTCTGTATAACCCCCCCCCCCCCCCACCTTGTCACAACACAACTGAGTGGCTCAAATGCATTAAGAAGGAAAGGAAAGAAATTCCACAAATTAACTTTTAAGAAGGCACACCTGTTAATTGAAATGCATTCCAGGTGACTTCCTCATGAAGCTGGTTGAGAGAATGCCAAGAGTGTGCAAAGCTATCATCAAGGCAAAGGGTGGCTATTTGAAGAATCTCAAATATAAAATATATTTTGATTTGTTTAACACGTTTTTGGTTACTACATGGTTCCATATGTGTTATTTCATAGTTTTGATGTCTTCACTATTATTCTACAATGTAGAAAATAGTAAAAATAAAGAAAAACCCTGCAATGAGTAGGTGTGTCCAAACCTTTGACTGGTACTGTATGTCAAAACCTGCTTACCACCTTGTGCATTTAGACTCTTAACCTCTTCGTCGACTACTGTGCTTTGATCAATGTATGGTGTCAAATGGTGATTCCTTTACTTCCAACCTGGGAAAGCCTTAGACATGATACATTGTTATTTTAGCTCCAAACTTTGGCCTGGGTCTGTTAAGACCCTTTATGTCAATGTTCAACTGTTATGATGAAACAATGTTCCTCTAGTTGTAGCTCGCCCCTTGCAAGTAATGCACTGTACCGTATTCTTGGCATCCAACATACAGTGTGGTACAAGCTCCAAGATAGTAGTTGAGGCTGTACCATAGGGCAAGTTCAATTCTTCAATTGTATCCTCATACAAACAAAATGTGTAGTGGTTTACATCTCTGGAAAAGAGGTAGCAGCTTTCCTCTTTCCAGTGACTTCATTCTGAAGAGTTTGGAAAACCAAATGATGGCATTAAAAAAAATTTTTCATGACATTTTGCTGTCCTGTGTTGTGTATTTAACTGGACTCTGAATTGGAAATTTCGGTTTTAATTTTGGTAGCACTTATAATAACTTAAGTGAATGAGCCTTCACGAATGCTTATAAATGCTTTAAATATGTTATTGCTTATGAATTGTAAAGCTGACAATGCTTATACATGTTGACAAATAATGAAATACTTATGAATGTATAAATTGTCAATGAATGCTTATTTGTCAAAGTTATTATAAACTCTTACCTGTAATTAATTGACTTGACAAAAGTACAGCAGCCAACAGGGTTTGCGGGTTACAGTACCTACCATACAGTCTCAGGTTTCAGATTGCTTGACATTTTGAAGCAGATTTATAACCCATCAGCTGGACTGGTACACAATGGGGCGTCGGCCAGTGTGTATGAGGAAACCAGAAGTTAAGCCAAAAACTGATGACCGATGTTAAAGAATACAGTCAGAAATACCTGACAAAGCAATGCTATGTTTGTTTTCAACCTCCAAGAACCAAAAACACATTTGTTTCTATACACAAAGTGGCCGGACAGTAAACAAATACATTTGTAGCATAAAAAAATGTGAAGAAGAAATTTAACAAGACTATGGCTATTTCTAAAAACCTGTTTTCGCTTTGTCATTATGGGGTATTGTGTGTAGATTGTTGAGGAAAAATGTATATTTAATCAATTTTAGATTAAGGCTGTAACGTGACAAAATGTAGAAAAAGTCAAGGGGTCTGAATACTTTCCGAAGGCACTGTATTTCACTGCATGCTTTTTTATTTGTTTTCAGTGTAGGATGTGGGTAGCACAGTTGCTTCCTGCGTCTCTTCTGAAAGGTGTCGGAGACAGACGTAGCAGGGGGGTCAAAGCCCTTTCTCATTGTGTCTCCACCCACAATGGAAGTTGACGCTTGGTTCTGCCTGTCCTCACTCTCTTAGGTGGACGTTGTATATGAGAGAAGGGAGGTGTTCTGTGGGCTGCTGTCCACTGTAAGGGTGTAAACTGAGGAGATCCTTGTAGACTGAGGAGGACAGGGCAAGGTAGGGTGGGGGACAGGGCAAGGTGGGGAGGAGGACAGGGCGAGGTGGGGAGGAGGACAGGGCAAGGTAGGGTGGGGGACATGGTGTCCCTCCTGATGCGTGTCTTCCGTTTGGGGGCGGAGAAAAAGAGGGTGAAGCTCTACGAGAACCTCCGGAGAGACGTGGACCCGCGGGAGACCTGGGACACCCAGGGGGAGCTGGGAGACGGGGCCTTCGGGAAGGTCTACAAGGTACCAGCAGGCTGGGGCCTAATACTCAACTCTTGTTTTACTTCCTGGTTTGGTCTCCTACTTTCCTCTCCTCTTCAAACCAAACCGAATCCTTCAAGGGATTCAATTGCAGATGAATTTGTAACCTGAAAATTCCTCAACTAAAATTCTATCATCTCTGATGGGATGGAGAGGAATGAACCCTAACTCTGGATTGAATTCAAAATGCTAATGATGGAGTGAAATTACATCTCAGTGCAAAACAAGAGCAGCCAACTGTGTTACCAAACTGTGTTGTGGATCCTCTCCACGGGTGACAGAGTATATATAGCATAGGCCGTTAGGTCATACTGTGGGTTGCCTATTTCCTGCCAACCCATATAGGCTGAAATATAACTTCCTGTCTTGACGTACAACCCACACGCATCTGCTCTTAATTGTTTTGCAACATCACCTTGACTATTGTTGCATGGAGCTGACTGAGTTCTAACTTTACTGTGATTGTCTTATTTCTCATTTGTTTAATTGTAAATGTAAAATACTGTTGTATAGTTTTGAACCCAAGATGCAAATTAAGGCCCTCTATATTACATTTGTGTAATGTTTCACTGGTATAATTTACCATATTATGAGTTCAAGGTATATTTTATGTTTTAACTGTCTTTCTTTATACAAAGCCTGTGAGAAGATCATGAATAACACATGCACATATCTTGTAAAGTCAGTATAGATGGCCCCATAGAGACCTGTGTACTTTTCTGTGTGTGTTCAGGCCCAGAACCACACCACTGGGGCCCTGGCTGCTGCTAAAGTGATGGAGGTGCGCAATGAGGAACAGCTGGAGGACTACATTACCGAAATTGACATCCTGGCAGCCTGTCACCATCACAACATCCTTGGGTTGTTGGACGCCACTTTCTTTGAGGGCTGGCTGTGGGTGAGTGAGGTCTTTTTCAGCTGCTCGAGTCGATTGCCAGGTGTCAGTATTAAGACTTTTTGGAGGGGGGTTTCAGTGAACTATACAGTATGCATCATTATACAGGCTATAGCTAATTGATTATGGATTAAATCACTCTCTGTTTCATAGATCCTGGTTGAGTTCTGCCCAGGGGGGGCCTTGGATGACATCATGTTAGGTGGGAGCCAAGAATCATGCACTCCTTAGTTTCCACTTCTTTAGTTTTTCCTCCTCTGGGAAGCAACTCATGTTTGTACTTATACGTTTGTGTTTGTTTGTGTGTATCCCCCAGAGCTGGAGCGGGGCCTGTCTGAGCAGCAGATCAGTGAGGTGTGCTGTCAGACGCTGCAGGCTCTGTCCTACCTGCACCAGCAACACATCATCCACAGAGACCTGAAGGCAGGCAACATCCTTCTAACCATGGAGGGACATGTCAAACTGGGTACAACACAGCACAGCACACACTCCTACAATTACTGGATTATCTCTCTCTCTGTTCTATTCTCTCTCTCCGATTGTCCGTCCAACCATTTGTCTGTCTACCTGACTGTGTCTGTCTATGTTTTGTTTATATGTCTATCCTAGTGTCTCTCATAGTGTATCAGTGCCTCTCATTGAGTCCTCTCAAATATCTCTTCCCATCCCTAGCTGACTTCGGAGTGTCTGCCAAAAACACTCACACCCTCCAGAGAAGAGCCACTTTCATTGGAACCCCTTACTGGTTTGTTTTACTCCTATCATGATTTTATGTTGAAATGTTGATAGCATGCAGCCACATTCCCATGTCTTCAACTTCATGTTTTCAACAACCCCAATGTGTAAATGTATCTGTTCGTCCCTTTGTCCGCCCGTCCGTCTGTCTTTCCTAGGATGGCTCCCGAGGTGATCCAGTGCGAGGCTTCCAAGGAGAACCCGTATGGCCCCAAGGCTGACATCTGGTCCCTGGGTGTGACGCTGATTGAGGCTGCAGAGATGGAGCCTCCCCACCACTCACTCAACCCGATGAGGGTCCTGCTCAAGATCACCAAGTCCGCCCCACCCACCCTCAGCAACCCACACCTCTGGTGAGTCAAGGTCTGCATCCCAAATGGCACCCTATTCTTTATTTAGTGCTCTACTTTTGACCATCCAGAGCATGCTGGCTTGTTCTCCCGTTTCCAGGTCCTCTCATTTCCAGGACTTCCTGCAAAGGGCGCTGCAGAAGAGCCCCGAGGCCCGGTGGGGAGCCCAGCAGCTTCTGGCCCACCCCTTCCCTTGCGCTGGACGGGACGGCCGAGCCCTGCGGGAACTCATCGCAGAGGCCAAGGCAGAGGTGATGGAGGAGACAGCGGTAAGAGATGGGGACTGTTCTATGATACATCCCAAATAGCACCCTATTCCTTATAAAATACACTACATTTAACCAGAACCCTATGGGATTGGTCAATAGGGTAGAATTTGGAATGCAGTGCCTCGAGTTACACACTTGATTTGAGGGATGATGCCTTTCCTACTGGAAATCTGCAGAGCATGGACCTGAAAATTTTTGGGAACGTTTCTCTACTTCTGCCTCTATATAGTATAGGTGAAAGTTCGTAAATCACCTTTACAGTGGGGAAAAAAAGTATTTAGTCAGCCACCAATTGTGCAAGTTCTCCCACTTAAAAAGATGAGAGAGGCCTGTAATTTTCATCATAGGTACACGTCAACTATGACAGACAAAATGAGAAAAAAATCCAGAAAATCACATTGTAGGATTTTTAATGAATTTATTTGCAAATTATGGTGGAAAATAAGTATTTGGTCAATAACAAAAGTTTCTCAATACTTTGTTATATACCCTTTGTTGGCAATGACACAGGTCAAACGTTTTCTGTAAGTCTTCACAAGGTTTTCACACACTGTTGCTGGTATTTTGGCCCATTCCTCCATGCAGATCTCCTCTAGAGCAGTGATGTTTTGGGGCTGTCGCTGGGCAACACGGACTTTCAACTCCCTCCAAAGATTTTCTATTGGGTTGAGATCTGGAGACTGGCTAGGCCACTCCAGGACCTTGAAATGCTTCTTACGAAGCCACTCCTTCGTTGCCCGGGCGGTGTGTTTGGGATCATTGTCATGCTGAAAGACCCAGCCACGTTTCATCTTCAATGCCCTTGCTGATGGAAGGAGGTTTTCACTCAAAATCTCACGATACATGGCCCCATTCATTCTTTCCTTTACACGGATCAGTCGTCCTGGTCCCTTTGCAGAAAAATAGCCCCAAAGCATGATGTTTCCACCCCCATGCTTCACAGTAGGTATGGTGTTCTTTGGATGCAACTCAGCATTATTTGTCCTCCAAACACGACAAGTTGAGTTTTTACCAAAAAGTTCTATTTTGGTTTCATCTGACCATATGACATTCTACCAATCCTCTTCTGGATCATCCAAATGCACTCTAGCAAACTTCAGACGGGCCTGGACATGTACTGGCTTAAGCAGGGGGACACGTCTGGTACTGCAGGATTTGAGTCCCTGGCGGCGTAGTGTGTTACTGATGGTAGGCTTTGTTACTTTGGTCCCAGCTCTCTGCAGGTCATTCACTAGGTCCCCCCGTGTGGTTCTGGGATTTTTGCTCACCGTTCTTGTGATCATTTTGACCCCACGGGGTGAGATCTTCCGTGGAGCCCCAGATCGAGGGAGATTATCAGTGGTCTTGTATGTCTTCCATTTCCTACTAATTGCTCCCACAGTTGATTTCTTCAAACCAAGCTGCTTACCTATTGCAGATTCAGTCTTCCCAGCCTGGTGCAGGTCTACAATTTTGTTTCTGGTGTCCTTTGACAGCTCTTTGGTCTTGGCCATAGTGGAGTTTGGATTGTGACTGTTTGAGGTTGTGGACAGGTGTCTTTTATACTGATAACAAGTTCAAACAGGTGCCATTAATACAGGTAACGAGTGGAGGACAGAGGAGCCTCTTAAAGAAGAAGTTACAGGTCTGTGAGAGCCAGAAATCTTGCTTGTTTGTAGGTGACCAAATACTTATTTTCCACCATAATTTGCAAATAAATTCATTAAAAATCCTACAATGTGAATTTCTGGATTTCTTTTCCTCAATTTGTCTGTCATAGTTGACGTGTACCTATGATAAAAATTACAGGCCTCTCTCATCTTTTTAAGTGGGAGAACTTGCACAATTGGTGGCTGACTAAATACTTTTTCCCCCCACTGTATAACATTGAGTATTTTAATTTTTACCTTAAAGTAGATTAATAGAAAATGATCTCCTACAGTCTGTCTAAAATGATCTGCAATGGTAACCCTCCTCCTATCCATTTCTCTGCCAGTCCCTGATAGATAACAGGGGCTCTCGAGACGAGGACATGGTTTTGGGGCCGGATGGAGGGACTGCACAGTCCAAGCAGCAGCAAGAGGAAGTGACAATGCAGGTACCAGAGAAACCTCAGGAGGGCCCATCTACCATACAGGCTGGTATGAGTCCACCACCACCTCCACCCAACCCTGACCCGGTCTCTTCCTCCACCCCAGTGAAAAATGGGGGCACCACTGGGACCAAGGGGGCCAAGTGTCTGTCAGTATGGGAGCCAGGGACCTTCCTCTCCTTTCTGACTGCAGCCTCTCGCCGCTGCAAGTCCGGCCTCTGGGGAGACACCCCATCGATTTCAGCCAATCAGAGCCAGCAAAACAAGGAGGACAGTCCCACTGGCCAATCAGAAGAGCAGGAAGTGACAAATCCAGCGGGAGAGAGGGATGCAGGGAACGCGGAGAAGGATCTGTGTGAGAACATTGGGAGGGGCAGCATCCTCCCCATCCCTAAAACGAATGGCACGGGAGATGAAGGAGAAAAGGAAGAAAAGGATGAGGGGCAGAAAAAAGAGGAGGATGAAATTGCAAGTGACTGCGAGGCCCAAGACTTTGACTCGGAAGTGGTTTCTTCTTCTGAACAGAAAATAGTAGGCATCCACACTGACATGAACCAAAACTGTACCAATGACTCGGGTGATGATGCACTTTTCTGTGACGATAACCAACCAATGACTGAGGCTCAATGTTCAGTTGAGGAGATTTGTATCCTCAAAGCAGGACCATCCAATGACATTAACAGTAGGGTAGAAGAAGCTCCTAGCCTGTCAGTGCAAACACACAATCCACTGGTTATAGCCTTGTCTTTGGAAATGCCCCAGCCATCCACAAAGGAGATAGGAGAAAGCCAGCACTCTGTGCTAGACTTCCTGGACCTGTCCACTCATAACCACTTCAAGATGGCCACCAGTGGGAAAACTAAGGAAGAGACCAAACAGAGTGTCAAAGAGAAAGAGACTGAATTGACCAAGGAGGAAATACAAGAGGAGAGGGGAGAGGAGGCGCAGCAGGAGGAAGATGAGGAGATATTGGAAGAGAATGAACTATCCGCTATGAGAGATGAAGAGGGAGAGCACGAGGAGAGAAGAGTAGAAGAAAGGGATGAGATGCAGATAAATGAAGACGGAATACAAGGCAAGACATGTGTGGAAGAAGAACAGGAGGACAACGTGGAGTTGAAGACAAGTGTGGGAAAACGAATGGATTTAGAAGAACATGAGGCAAGTCCTGAAATGGAGGACGGAGAATCTAAGAGTGGTATTGAAGAGAACGTACCATCAGAACAAACAGGAGAAATACAGACTAAAACAGAGCAGCAAATAAGTGATGTTTCACACAAACCTGAATCAACTATGGAAGTTGATACCAGTGAAAAGGAGAAGCGTTTAAGCGCAGAGACAGAAAATGAAATCCTTGATCTCGATGTGACTGAATTTGAAAATGTAGACAGAGCAGAGGGAAAAAATGAACAGAGTAAAGAGGACCTTGGATTAGAAAGCGATAACATAGTGACCATCCAAGTACAAGAAACTGATATGACCATAAAGCAGGAAGCGAAAGAAAAGGGGGACCAACAAGGGGACAGTAAGGGAGAAGAGAAGATGACAGACCTCCCAACTGGGGAACCTATGACGAAGGTGAACTTGACCTTGGAGTCAGATAGAGGGAGGGAGGGAGGAGGGAAAGAGGAAGGAGGGAAAGAGGAGGGAGGGAGGGAGCTGGAGGAAGGAGGGAAGGCTAGTCAGACACAGTTGGACATAGTGACTGAACAGAGCTCAACCAGATCTCAGGGAACTGCTATAGACAGAGTACAGCCGAACTCAGCATCAAATGATAACTGGCACCAAGTGACAGACAAGATGGCTGCCAGTGAAGACCAAGCTGACACGACAGAGAAAGTCAACTCAGTCTCGACAATGTCAAGACCTGTAGAGGTGAGTGATAGTGATCAGAGCAAGTTTGCACCCATTGTTTCCCCATGTGAATACAACATAGAATGCAGAACATGAAGGTACAATTAAAGACATGCGCTGGAACTTTGGCGACTAGTAAGTCTTTTTTAAACCTCCCCCTTTGGGCTAGATGTTTCAATGTGTAGTTTATACATTCATAATCTATGAGCAGAATTACTTTCTTATCTCAATTAGCCACGAAATCCCTAGTTTTCTGGAAGCATTTTCCCTATATTTCCCCCCACATGGGCCAGCCCCCTAGCAATCAAGTTTCAGCCAATGGGCTTCAGCCAATGAACTTCAGCCCCTCGCCATTTGAGTGACAGTTAGTAAGATGCACACACAGCAAAGCGAGAGATAGAGAGCAATGATGTGGTGCACATATCTGCACAAAATCAAAGTTTGTCACGTGCTTTCAAACCTCAAAAGTATCTGGGGATGTGGAAGACCACTTTTGAGGTCTGAAAACATCTGACAAACTTAGATTTTAGAGTGTAATGTCTTTAAGAGAATGAATAAGAGGTGTTGTGTGCTTCCCTAGATAGATTACACCAACTAAACAGAGGCACTTTGTGACTCTGCAATCTTTTCTTTGTTGTATTCAGGAGTTGATTCATAACAGGAAGACGATCAAAAGGACCCGGAAGTTCATGGTGGACGGCCGAGAGGTCAGTGTCACCACATCAAAGGTCCTGAAGGAGAGCGATGTGAAGGAGCAGCACATGCGGTCCGCTAGGTAAACCATCTTCTTGGATGGGAGACTTAAACACATTCAACACATTCACTTCACTGTGTGTGTGTGTGTGTGTGTGTGTGTGTGTGTGTGTGTGTGTGTGCGTGCGTCTGATTGTGCAGGCGCCAGGAGCTGCAGGCTCTAAAGCTCCTTCAGAGGGTGGAGCAGAGAGAGTATGCCCAGATGGAGCAGCGGCTGCAGCAGCAGAGAGAGATTATGTTCCGACAAATCGCTCAGGAGATGACCGTGAGTAGTGGGGCCCTATTAAAAACACTGTTCTCTCGATATGTTTGAATCCTACATTCTCTTATTACCCCATTGTGACTGCCAATAACACCTGTTTTTTTAGTTTTAAGATATGGGATTTGAATTTGATGGCCTATTAGGGAACAACTCATTTTCAATGTTGAGTGAGTACATGAGGTTTGTGGCAATCTTTCCCCCTGCCTTCCAAACTCAAACAAATGTGGTGTGTGTTGTGTGCATTGCATAGAACAAGAAGCAGTACTACGACAGTGCGCTGGAGCGGCTGGAGAAGCAGTATGTGCAGCAGAGCAGCCGCATGGAGGAAGAGCATACAGCCAGGCTCAGAGAGGACGCACGCAGACTCAAGAGCCAGCAGGAGAGAGAGCTGAACCGCAAGGCTGCTGTAATGAAGGCTCAACCCAGAGAGGTACATACACACGCACACAGACACACACACTGAGCCCTTCGTATATCTTGCCTCCTTTTGTGTTCACTCAAGGAGCAGCGTTACCTGCAGAAGCAGCAGCAGGAACTCAACGAGATGCTCCAGAAAGAAGTCCAGGAACACAAGAGGAAGGTGGCCTCTATGGAGTGGGACATAACTGTCAAGACCCAGCAGCTTAAGCGAGGTACACACACACACACACACACACACACACACACACACACACACACGCATGCACTCACATACACACGCACACACAAATTGGTTACGATTATGGGCTGCTTTATGACAAAGGTTAGGAAAATAAAATCAAAGTTTATTGGTCGGGTATACAGTTTAGCAGATGTTATAGCGGGTACAGCAAAATGCTTATGTTACTAGCTCCTAACAATGCAGTAAAATGTCAAAAAAGTACACTCATAATTTAAAAATAAAAAGCTAAAAAAACAAGAAATCAAGAACGTTGGGATGAATCGAATTAACAACCCAAATAGCACTGTAACAGTAATCAAAATGCAATCTATACATATGTACACCGGAAGAATTTACACAAGATATATTAAGAATGATATGTACAGCAGTAGATATAAAATCTAGAATCGGCTTCCTATTTCGCAACAAAGCCTCCTTCACTCATGCTGCCAAACATGCCCTCGTAAAACTGACTATCCTACCGATCCTTGACTTCGGCGATGTCATTTACAAAATAGCCTCCAACACTCTACTCAGCAAATTGGATGTAGTCTATCACAGTGCCATCCGTTTTGTCTCCAAAGCCCCATACGCTACCCACCACTGTGACCTGTACGCTCTTGTTGGCTGGTCCTCACTACATGTTCGTCGTCAAACCCATTGGCTCCAGGCCATCTATAAATCACTGCTAGGCAAATCCCCGCCTTATCTTAGCTCATTGGTCACCATAGCAGCACCCACCCGTAGTCTGCGCTCCAGCAGGTATATCTCACTGGTCATTCCCAAAGCCAACACCTCCTTTGGCCGCCATTCCTTCCAGTTCTCTGCTGCCAATGACTGGAACGAATTGCAAAAATCTCTGAAGCTGGAGACTCTTATCTCCCTCACTAACTTTAAGCATCAGTTGTCAGAGCACCTTACCGATCACTGCACCTGTACACAGCCCATCTGAAATTAGCCCACCCAACTACCTCATCCCTATATTGTTATTTATTTTGCTCTTTTGCACCCCAGTATCTCTATTTGCACATAATCTCTTGCACATCTAGCATTCCAGTGTTAATACTATTGTAATTATTTTGCACTATAGCCTATTTATTGCCTTACCTCCATAACTTGCTACATTTGCACACACTGTATATATATTTTCTGTTGTATTTTTGACTTTATGTTTTTTACCCCATATGTAACTCTGTGTTGTTTTTATCGCACTGCTTTGCTTTATCTTGGCCAGGTCGCAGTTGTAAATGAGAACTTGTTCTCAACTGGCTTACCTGGTTAAATAAAGGTGAAATAAAAAATAAATAAAATATATTAGAGTGAGCTATGTCAAGAATCCACTATATAAATACATATGTGGTGTGTATAAACAGTGTAACTAAATACAAAGTACAGTAGTAGAAATGTTAGAATGAGGTATGTCGGGAATACAGTATTTAAATATTCAGTGTGAAACGGGAAGTGTCCAGTGGTTCAGTGTCTCTATGACATGGAACAGCAGTGTTGGCTGTGTGTGTGTGTGTGTGTGTATATGTGTGTGTGTGTTTGTGAGTATTAGGTGTGTGTGTGTGTGTGATAGCTTGTGTGAGTGTTTTGTGTGAGTGAGTGTGCATCACCTGGTAGACAGCTAGTGATGGCTGTTCAACAGTCTAATGGCCTGGTAATAGAAGCTGTTCAACAGTCTAATGGCCTGGTAATAGAAGCTGTTCAACAGTCTAATGGCCTGGTAATAGAAGCTGTTCAACAGTCTAATGGCCTGGTAATAGAAGCTGTTCAACAGTCTAATGGCCTGGTAATAGAAGCTGTTCAACAGTATAATGGCCTGGTAATAGAAGCTGTTCAACAGTCTAATGGCCTGGTAATAGAAGCTGTTCAACAGTCTAATGGTCTGGTAATAGAAGCTGTTCAACAGTCTAATGGCCTGGTAATATAAGCTGTTCAACAGTCTAATGGCCTGGTAATAGAAGCTGTTCAACAGCCTAATGGCCTGGTAATAGAAGCTGTTCAACAGTCTAATGGCCTGGTAATAGAAGCTGTTCAACAGTCAAATGGCCTGGTAATAGAAGCTGTTCAACAGTCAAATGGCCTGGTAATAGAAGCTGTTTTTTAGCACTGATGCATCTGTTCTGAGTGACTCCATCTGCCAGACGGTAGCCGAGTAAACAGTCCCTGGCTCGGGTGACTGAGGTCCTTAATGACCTTCTTGGCCTTCCTTTGACACTGAGTGCTGTAAATGTCCTGGAGGGCAGGCAGCGTGCTCTGATGATGTGTTGTGCTGACCGTCCCACGCTCTGGAGAGCTCCTTCATTTTGTGGAAGAGGGAGGGCTCTGGCCTCCTCCCTGGAGGCTGTCTGGTCGTTGTTGGTAATCAGGCCTACCACTGTCGTGTCGTCAGCAAACTTGATGATTGAGTTGGAGTCGTGCGTTTCCACGCAGTCATGGGTGAACAGGGAGTACAGGAGGGGGCTGAGCACCCACCCCTGGGGGGCCCCTGTGTTGAGGATCAGCGTGGCGTAGGTGTTGTTGCCTACCGTCACCACTTGGACTCGGACCGCCAGGAAATCTAGGACCCAGTTGCACAGGGAGGAGTTCAGACCCAAGGTCCTGAACTTAGTAATGAGCTTGGAGGGCACTATGGTGTTAAAAGCTGAGCTATAGTCGATTAACAGCATTCTCACATAGGTATTCCTCTTTTCCAGGTGGGATAAGGTGGTGTTTAGCTTGTCTGGAAGTGAGGCGTCTGTGTCTGTGGCATGGCTGGTTTTCCCTTTATAATCTGTGATTGACTGAAGTCTCTGCCACATGCGTCTCGTGTCAGAGCCGTTGAATTGCGACCTACACTGTCTTTTTGCCTCTTTGATTGTCTTGCGGAGGTCATAGGTGATCTTTTTGTACTCGTCCATGTTTCTAGTCACCTTGCCATGGTTAAATGTGGTGGTTCGTGCTTTGAGTTTTGTGCAAATGCCACCATCTATCCACAGTTTTTGGTTTGGGTATGTTTTAATCGTCACAGTAGGAACAACATCCTCTATGCACTTCCTGATGAACCCAGAGACAGAGTCAGTGTATTCGTCAATGTTAATATCCCAGTCCATGTGATCAAAACAGTCCGTGATGCAAACAGCTGTGAATTATCTCGGGAGATAATTGAGTCAGTATTCCAGGTCAGTGGAACAGAAACTCTTAAGTTCCTACAATCACACCATGAGTTGTTGATCATGAAACATACTCCTCCGCCTTTGTTTTTCCAACAAAGTAAATTTTCCCTGTCCGTGCAATGTACAGAAAACCCTGCAGGCTGTATAGCCTGATCAGGCACCACCCCCAACATCCAAGTCTCTGTAAAGCAGATTCCGTTAGTCTCTCATATCTCTCTGGTAGGAAATCCGCGCGCTGAGCTCGCAAAGTTTATTGTCCAGAGACTGTACATTAGCAAGTAATATACTTTCTACCACTCTAAATTTCAAGCCTCTGCCTCTAACCCTAGGAAGCTCTTTGCCACCTTCTCCTCCCTGCTGAATCTCCCTCCTCCTCCCCCTCCCTCATCCCTCTCTCATGACTTCGTCAACCATTTTGAAAAGAAGGTTGACGACATCCGATCCTCATTTATTAAGTCAAATGACACCGCTGGTCCTGCTCACACTGCCCTACCCTATGCTTTGACTTCTTTCTCCCCTCTCTCTCCAGATGACTTGTGACGGCCGGCCGCCCAACAACCTGCCCGCTTGACCCTATCTTCTCCAGACCATTTCCGGAGACCTTCTCCCTTACCTCACCTCCCTCATCAACTCATCCTTGACCACTGGCTATGTCCCTTCCATCTTCAAGAGAGCGAGAGTTGCACCCCTTGTCAACAACTACAAACCAGTATCCCTTCTTTATTTTCTCTCCAAAACTCTTGAGCGTGCTGTCTCTAGCCAACTCTCCTGCTATCTCTCTCAGAATTACCTTCTTGATCCAAACCAGTCAGGTTTCAAGACTGGTCATTCAACTGAGACTGATCTTCTCTGTGTCACAGAGGCTCTCCGCACTGCTAAAGCTAACTCTCTCTCCTCTGCTAACTCTCTCTCCTATCCGCTGCCTTTGATACTGTGAACCATCAGATCCTCCTCTCCACCCTCTCCGAGTTGGGCATCTCCGGCGCTGCTCACTCTTGGATTGCGTCCTACCTGACAGGTTGCTCCTACCAGGTGGCGTGGCGAGAATCTGTCTCCGCACCACATGCTCTCACCACTGGTGTCCCCCAGAGCTCAGATCTAGGCCCTCTCCTATTCTCTCTATACACCAAGTCACTTGGCTCTGTCATATCCTCACATGGTCTCTCCTATCATTGCTACGCAGACGACACACAATTAATTTTCTCCTTTCCCCCTTCTGATAACCAGGTGGCGAATCGCATCTCTGCATGTCTGGCAAACATATCAGTGTGGATGTCGGATCACCACCTCAAGCTGAACCTCGGCAAGACGGAGCTGCTCTTCCTCCCGGGGAAGGACTGCCCGCTCCATGATCTCGCCATCACGGTTGACAACTCCATTGTGTCCTCCTCCCAGAGTGCAAATAACCTTGGCGTGACCCTGGACAATACCCTGTCGTTCTCCGCTAACATCAAAGCGGTGACCCGATCCTGCAGGTTCATGCTCTACAACATTTGCAGAGTACGACCCTACCTTACATAGAAAGCGGCACAGGTCCTAATCCAGGCACTTGTCATCTCCCGTCTGGATTACTGCAACTCGCTGTTGGCTGGGCTCCCTGCCTGTGCCATTAAACCCCTTCAACTTATCCAGAACGCTGCAGCCCGTCTGGTGTTCAAACTTCCCAAGTTCTCTCATGTCACCCTGCTCCTCCGCACACTCCACTGGCTTCCAGTTGAGGCTCGCATCTACTACAAGACCATGGTGCTTGCCTACGGAGCTGTGAGGGAAACGGCACCTCCTTACCTTCAGGCTCTGATCAGACCCTACACCCAAACGAGGGCACTACGTTCATCCACCTCTGGCCTGCTAGCTCCCCTACCTCTACGGAAGCACAGTTCCCGCTCAGCCCAGTCAAAGCTATTCGCTGCTCTGGCACCCCAATGGTAGAACAAACTCCCCCACGACGCCAGGACAGCGGAGTCACTGACCACCTTCCGGAGACACTTGAAACCCTACCTCTTTAAGGAATACCTGGAATAGTATAAAGTAATCCTTCTCCCCCACCCCACATAAAAAAATAAAATTAAAAAAAGGGTGGTTGTCCCACTGGCTATCATAAGTTGAATGCACCAATTTGTAAGTCGCTCTGGATAAGAGCGTCTGCTAAATGACGTAAATGTAAATGTAAATCAGACCGACAGGAAATGAGACATTGACCAAAATGCCGATATTGACTGTGTTTGTGCCTATATAAATATTTTATTAATTCACATGTATGTGATGCTTGTCTGCAGCCCGGGAATCACTGATTTGGGAGATGGAGCAGCGTCATCTGCAAGAGAAGTACCACCTCTTTAAGCAGCAGGTGAAGGAGCAGTATTCACTGCAAAGACAACAGCTCTGCAAGAGGCACAGCAAAGTGAGTTGGAATGCTCTCACTAACAAGAACCCCCCAAACATGCACTTGCATACACAAATGCACGCACAGAGACACACACACACGCACATGCAGGCATGCAGGCATGCACAAACACTATGACTTATATCCACTCCCTCCTCCCCTCCCCTCCCAGGATACAGACAGGGTGTCTCAGTTCCATCGGGCGTTACTGGATGAGCAGAGGACCCAGCAGGCCCAGGAGAGTACCCAGCTCCAACGAGCCCAGCGCACCGAGGCCAAGGCCCGGCTGGCCCACTTCAAGCTGGAGCTGAAGACACAGGGCCTGACTGGGCCAGAGCACCGGCAGCGCCTCACACTGGTCGGTACAGGGAACTTGTATAGCGTCTGAGTTCCCAAATAGTTAACAAACATTCTTTGCAGTGCTACTTGGCCACTAGTAATTCATCGTTTGGCAATCCTCTTTCTCTTTCGATGTCTCTTTTTCTCCATCTCTCACTTTCTCGCTCTCTTTCTCTGCCTCTCTCTCACTCACTTTCTCTTTCTGTCATTGTCTCTCTCTCTCTCTGTCAGTTTGTGTCGTCGGAGGAGGGCAGGCAGCGAGAGGAGAGGCAGAGTTTGAAGCAGGACCAGGAGGGCCAGCTGAGGGAGGTGCAGGAGCAGTGTGACGGCAATATGGCCAAACTCCTGGAGCTGCAGGTGGACTACACTATACCCCATGTGTTAGCAAGCTCATTTGGTTGTAGATATAAATGTTATATGTACTATAAACTGGTATACTCTATAATATAATGTATTAATATAATCAAATACGCATAATTGATTATATGAAGAACGTGCAAAAAATGAATGCGTGTGTGTGCGTTTGTGCTCGTGTGTTTCAGAATGAGAAACTGCAGCTGTTAGTTGACATGGAGAAGAAGAAGATTCAGAGACTAGAGGATGAACACACTCTGGAGCTGAACGAGTGGGAAGACAAGCTGGCCTGCAGGAAAGAGGTATGGGAGATAGAGAGAGAAAGAAATTAAGGTTGTTGTGGGAATAATGTCTTGAATGGCAAAAAAAAAAATTCTGTTGATCCATTAGCCATGCACACCATGTTAACAGGTTAATGACGAGGGGCAACCGGGTGGTTTTTTAAATCTGAAAACATGCTCCCTTTCCTTTGCACTTGTTGACCTTAAAGATCTGAAAAGGTTCAATAAGGTCAGGTATGGACCCAGGGAGAAATGGAAATTGCTCAATGTTCAGTTGTCATAACCATTAGACATGCATACCACGTTAACAGCTTGCTGCTTGAAGGGACACCAGGGCTACACTTTGAATCCAAAAACATGTTCCTTTGCACTTGTTGGCATGACCTTGATGACCTGAAAGGTTCAATGAGGGTATAGTCTGTCTGTCTGTCCGTCTGCCCATAGGTCCGTCCATCAGTCTGTGTTTGAACATGTTTCTTCTGCTTGTCTGTGCAGGCATTGTCTGGTATAGTCTTTCTGTCTGTCTGTCTGTCTGTGTATCTATCTGTGTATGTCCGTCTGTCGTTCATACGTCCGTCCATCTGTCTGTGTTGGTCTGTGTGTGCAGGTGTTGGAGGAAGACCTGGCTCGCCGGAGAAGGGAGCGAAAAGACGGCGGTTCTTCCCAAGCCTCAACTTCTCTTAACTGAACACCACCAAAAGAGAAAACAATCCTGACAAATCAAACTGCTTTTTATATCATTCACACAGATCTCACATATACTCAAAAACATATAAAAAAAACGGACAGTGCCGAATCAAAAGGGAACCATCGCGCTCTCCAAGAAGTTTGGTTGGTGCGTAAAACCCATGAATTCAGATAAATAAAAAGGTTTGATGGGTCCACACTCAAAAAGATGTTGCATAAAGCTTTCTTCATTTTTATTTTTATTTTCACTGCATCAGGGAAAGCGTACACAGATGTTTCGGCTTTGCAGCCGCCTTCAGTGTTCTTTTTCATTCAAAACAGCATTTGTAGGGAACACAGGTGAGCAACTGATGGGCGATGAGTGTTCTTGTAAAACCGTCTAAATTTGGCCTATAGGAAGGAGGTGAAATGTAGTTCCTTGTTTAAACTGTGTGGGGATATGGACTTTAATTGTTATATCCACATGGCTTCTCTTTGGAGTCAGTTGTTGCCGGAATCACCTGCTCTGCATGGTGCATTAACTTTTTCGATCCCGACGCAATGCAATTCATTAATAGAGTGATTTTGTTCTATAAAGTGTCTCGCAACTGGCGAGGTGATATCTTGACGTCTGATAGCGGATTTTGGTTCTCCAAGGCGAAATGGTTTTCCAATATAAATCTTATTGCAAGAACACTGTAACATATAAATAACTCCTTTAGTAGTGCCAGTTATACATTACTTTATCTCATATGTCCAAGAAGTCTGAGGGCATACAAAGCTAGTACATTTCCTTATGGTGCTACATGAGGTACATGATCTACAGGGGAAACATCCTTTATGAAGGCCTCTTTTCTCTCTCTGACCACATCTGATTCAACCAATATGTTTAATAGATTTCTTGATTGTTTATAAGTAAATAAAGGTGGAAGGCAGAATTTAAAGAGGAGTCTGATGATAGTATATGCCAGTGCTTATTGACAATAGACTTGATGCCATTACAGCTATCATTGAAAGTAAGTATATAGTTTACAGAAAACGGTTTCTTCTGTTTTTGTTGGGATTTATTAAGTAACATGGTTTCTGTTCAAGCTTTTAAGTTATTAGCAGATTATTTATTTTGCATGGTTACAGACGGCTATATCGGTCCGCTAATACAGGACTAGTAAAGGCCCAGTCCACTACTTTTGTGAGAATTTTTACAAATATAATTGTATTAAGTTTTTTATAATAAATGTTTTATTATTATTATGATTTTTCAGGGGGTGCTGCAGCACCATCAGCACCCTACTTCCCGCCACTATGGTATCGGGGTATCCTCTTTAGCAGAAAAGCTCAAGGAGAGAATTTGATTGTCTATCATATTCTTCCTGTCACAGATGCGATGCAGTCAATAAAGTTGGCTGACTGGTAAACCTCTTTTTAGGGGGAGAGGATGGTAACTATCAGCTGTCAGTATAGTATTTTTATCTGTAGGTTTCCTGGAAACTGTAGTACTTAGAGATTGTCCCTTCTTCGTAACATGTAGGCCTGCCTACATCGAATAAATGTTATTTTCCATAGTGAAGGAAATGTATTGTACTCTAGAGTTAATGTAGTTAATACATTTGTTTAATTATATTTCGAAACCCGTCCAGATCATAAAGCAATCATCTATGTTGCGGGTCCAATATTTGACATGATCTTTGTAAGGATTATTTCATGAAGAGATTTGCATAGTTGGGAGCTAATGGGGTTCCCATCGCTGTTCCAAGGGTCTGTAAGTAGTAATATTTGTCAAATAGAAAATAGTTTTTAGTGAGCACTAGTTACACAAGCTCAATTATATAATTTGTTGGCACATCGCTTAAGCAGTTGGATAGGAAGAATTTGAGGGCCTCCATACCTCCATCATTCGGAATATTGGTGTATAGCGATGAGACACATCAAGAGCGTCTAGCCAATCTCCTTCACGAATAACTGGTATACTTTGTAGTTTTGTTAGAAAGTCAGTGGTGTCTTTTAAATAAGATGGCAACTGTTTGACAAATGGATAAATGTGTAAGTCCACATAACGATACACTTTTTCTGTTAGGGAGCCAATACCTGAAATTATAGGTCTTAATGGAGGGTCTGTGGTTGATTTGTGAACCTTAAACAGACCATAAATCGAAACTGTAGGTTTTTTGCAGAATGGTATTTAAATTCCTGTTCTGTCAACCATTTAATTTGTAGTCCTTTATCGAGGACTTTATTCACTTCGATTTTATAGTTGGTAGGATCGAAAATCCAATTTTTGTAAAAAAAAAAATTTTTTGCATCCAACAAGGTATAATTTTTGGGGGATATACATGTTGGTATTAGAAATCACAATCCCACCTCCCTTAAGTTAGGTCCTTTCAATATTTTAAATGACCTAAGCTCACTCTAGAGAGGAGTGAGTATAAGAGGAATTATTTACAATATAAACTGAACAAAAATATAAATGCAACATGTAAAGTGTTGGTCCCATGTTTCATGAGCTGAAATAAAAGAACCCAGAAATGTTCTATATGCACAAACAGCTTATTTCTCTCAAATGTTGTACACAAATGTGTTTACATCCCAGTGAGCGTTTCTCCTTTGCCAATATAATCCATCCACCTGACAGGTGTGGCATATCAAGAAGCTGATTAAACAGCATGATCATTACACAGGTGCACCTTGTGCTGGGGACAATAAAAGGCCACTCTAAAATGTGCAGTTTTGTCACACAACACCACAGATGTCTCAAGTTTTAAGGGAGCGTGCAATTGGCATGCTGACTGCAGGAATGTCCACCAGAGCTGTTGCCAGAAAATGGAATGTTCATTTCTCTACCATAAGCCGTCTCCAACGTCATTTTAAAGAATTTGGCAGTATGTCCAACCGGCCTCACAACCTTAGACCACGTGTAACCACGCCAGCCCAGGACCTCCACATCCGGCTTCTTCACCTGTGGGATCGTTTGAGACCAGCCACCCAGACAGCTGATGAAACTGAGGGGTATTTCTGTCTGTAATAAAGCCCTTTTGTGGGAAAAAACTCATTCTGATTGACTGGGCCTGGCTCCCAAGTGGGTGGGCCTATTCCCTCCCAGGCCCACTCATGGCTGCGGCCCTGCCCAGTCATGTGAAATCCGTAGATTAGGGCCTAATTTATTTATTATAATTGACTGATTTCCTTATATGAACTGTAACTCAGTAAAATCGTTGAAATTGTCCGATGTTGAGTTTATATATTTTTGTTCAGTATATATATAACTGTCTTGCAAGAGAATAGAGGACAGTTTAGTACATATTTCAATAGTTGACCACTGAAGGATGTGTAGCAGGCTACTTTAGTATGTGTTCTTTCAAATGCTGTTGTGAGGTGGATATTTCCCCTGCTATTATTTTTTACCTAATATTTGCAATAAATTACAAATCCATATAAAATGTTTGTCTTGATCTATTGCTGAGTATTTCATAACTGTTTTTTTGTAGAAACTTTGTTTGTACACTATTTGAAAAATAGATTTAATTGATGATGCAAAGTGTTGAAGTTTGCATTTTGCATTGGGGTGTGTGATAGTTTTACATTTTATACCTGTGACTGTGAGTATATGTCCCCCTGGTGGCTGAAAACAGCACAGCAGCACACCCAGAATTTGGGATGGAATACCCAGAATGCAACATGGATCCCCTGAGCAACACAATGCTTCCAGAAATCAATAATAAAGATGGTGCTCAGTCCCCTCCTGTACTCCCTGTTCACCCATGACTGCATGGCCAGGCACGACTCCCAACACCATCATTAAGTTTGTCGACGACACAACAGTGGTAGGCCAGTGGTAGGCCTATAGGGAGGAGGTCAGAGACTGGCCGTGTGGTGCCAGGATAACAACCTCTCCCTCAACGTGATCAAGACAAAGGAGATGATTGTGTACTACAGGGAAAAAAAGAGGACTCAGCACGCCCCCATTCTCATGGTCCAAACACACCAAGACAGTTGTGAAGAGGGCATGACAAAGCCTATTCCCCCTCAGGAGACTGAAAAGATTTGGCATGGGTCCTCAGATCCTCAAAAAGTTATACAGGTGCACCATCGAGAGCATGCTGACTGGTTGCATCACCGCCTGGTATGGCAACTGCTCGGCCTCCGACCGCAAGGCACTACAGAGTGTAGTGCGTACGGCCCAGTACATCACTGGGGCCAAGCTTCCTGCCATCCAGGACCTCTATACCAGGCGGTGTCAGAGGAAGGCCCTCAAAATTGTCAAAGACTCCAGCCCCCCTAGTCATAGACTGTTCTCTCTGCTACCGCACGGCAAGCAGTACCAGAGTGCCAAGTCTAGGTCCAAAACGCTTCTTAACAGCTTCTACCCCCAAGCCATAAGACTTCTGAACAGCTAATCATGGCTACCCAGACTATTTGCATTGACCCCCACCCCCACCCTCTTTTACGCTGCTGCTACTCTGTTTATTATTTATGTATAGTCACTTTAACTCTACCCACATGTACATATTACCTCAATTACCTCGACTAACCGCTGCCCCCGCACATTGACTCTGTACCAGTACCCCCTGTATATAACCTCCCTACTGTTACTTTATTTTACTGATGCTCTTTAATTATTTGCTATTTTAATTTTTTCTTAACTGCATTGTTGGTTAAGGGCTTGTAAGTAAGCATTTCACTGTAATATCTACACCTGTTGTATTCGGCGCATGTGGCAAATAAAAATTGATTTGATTTGATTATTATTATTAAACTCGCCAGATCATTTTCCATCAATGGATGTTGATTTAACTTGTTTGACTGCTATGATTAAGCAAAAAGGCACAAGGGGGTATGGTATATGGCCAATATACCATGGCTAAGGGCTGTGCTTAAGCATGACACAATGCAGAGTGCCTGGATACAGCTGTTAGCCGTGGTATATTGGCCATATACCACAAAACCCTGGGGTGCCTTATTGCTATTATAAACTGGTTACTAATGTAATTAGAACAGTAAAAAAAAGTGTTTTTGTCATACCCT